TAGAATTTTGTTAAGGATTTTTGCATCTATGTTCATCAGTGATATTGGCCTGTAGTTTTCTTTTTTTGTGGCATCTTTGTCTGGTTTTGGAATTAGGGTGATGGTGGCCTCATAGAATGAGTTTGGAAGTTTACCTTCTTCTGCAATTTTATGGAAGAGTTTGAGTAAGATAGGTGTTAGCTCTTCTCTAAATATTTGGTAGAATTCAGCTGTGAAGCCGTCTGGTCCTGGGCTTTTGTTTGTTGGAAGATTTCTGATTACAGTTTCAATTTCCTTGCTTGTGATGGGTCTGTTAAAATTTTCTTGGTCTTTAGTTGCCAGTCAATTGGTGATACCTAGTTTATCCAGGAGCTGCTGAATTTTTTGGCTAGTTCTTCAACCTAATCACACATATGGGAATTCATTTCCATAGTGCTTTTGATTGCTGTGTTCAATATTTTATAATTTTTTTGGCCATGGTCCTGCCTGGATAGAGCCAGTGGAGCACTAGCACTTGAATGCAGTTGCCTGGGCTTGAATCCTAGCAACTTCAATTACTCTCTGTTTATTCTTGGTGAGTTAACCTAACCTCTCCTGAGTCCTCATCTGTAAAATGTGGATAATAATAATACCTCATTCTTGTGGTTGTTGTGAGCAATAAATTAATGTATGTCAAGTACTTGTTGCCTGGCATGTAATAAATTCTCAATGAATGGAACTATTGGTGTTGATAATGACAGTGATGATGATCAACAGTAATGGTGGCATATGCAACAACACAATGTGCCAAATACAGTGTTAGGTGCTGGACCAGATACATAGAAAAATATTGAAAAAGTCCTTGTTCTCATGGAGAGTATATGTTCTCCTTGGTGATAAAAATTAAGAATATTTCCTCAAGACTTCCTAACAAAGGGCCTATAAAAGAGGCTTAGCATTTTATAGTTCAATAAAGACCAAGAAATAATGAAATCAAGAAAGTGTTGATATTTCCAGAACCTGTGTAGCTTTGGTATGTTGTTTGTGCTCAGTGTGCTCAGTCGTGTCTGACTCTTTGCAACCCCATGGACTGTAGCCCATCAGGCTCCTCTGCCCGTGGGATTCTCCAGGAAGGAATACTGGAGTGAGTTGCCATTACTTTGTTTGTACTCTCTATTATTGTCTCGTTGGTAATTAGTTTTATTTATTTATTTATTTTTTACATTCATTTACATTTTTATTTTATTTATTTATTTTTTAATTTTTATTAGTTGGAGGCTAATTACTTTACAATATTGTAGTGGTTTTTGTCATACACTGACATGAATCAGCCATGGATATACATGTATTCCCCATCCCAATCCCCCCTCCCACCTCCCTTTCCACCCCATCCCTCTGGGTCTTCCCAGTGCACCAGGTCTGAGCACTTGTCTCATGCATCCAACCTGGGCTGGTGATCTGTTTCACCCTAGATAATATACATGTTTCGATGCTGTTCTCTTGAAACATCCCACCCTTGCCTTCTCCCACAG